AGAACCAGTAACATTTTATGTGAATATTTTCATATTTTCATATTCATAATATGCAAATGTTACCAGTCTGCCAAAAGTTTGTGAATGGGTTTGCTGGTTCCTGGTATCAAAAAGATTGGGAACCACTGCCTGAGGCCAGTAGCATCCCTAATCCAATTTGGGGAAGGTTTCTGAGGGTGAGATCTGGGTCAAAGCTGGCTACTACCTATGCACTCATGTTCTCCATTGCTAGCACCAGCCCCTTCTAGTACAGGTTGCACCTCTATTAACTGGAACTCCCTGATCCGGCAACATCTGTGGTCCACAGAGTCCTGGAGTGCTGCAGGGTAAGGGGGACGCGATGCCCCGACAAAGAAGCCTTTCTTCATCGACACAGGTAAGCCTGGTTTCACGAGGCTTACCTGCGTCGATGAAGAAAGGCTTCTTTGTCGGGGCATCGCGTCCAGACTCTCCCGATCTGCCGACAAACAGCTGATCGGCAGATCGGGGCAGCCATTTAAATTTAAATGAAGCCGCGATTATTTTAATCGCGGCTTCATTTCCCTCTTCCGAGCTGGCTAATCTACATGCCTCCGTCGACGGAGGCATGGAGTCTGGACACAGCCCAAGTGACCAGAAATTTCACAGTAATCAGGGCAAACTGCCCAGGGATTTATCTCCTTCCTCATCCAGATATTCTATAGCCATGTCTCCAGGACCACCCTATTTCACCCGTCATTGTATGTGGCCCTGTTCTCAGCTCAATAAAGTTCCACAGCCAGCAGCTACTTGATCAGTTCTGATAAATACCTACCCTAGCACCCAGTAAAACTGGAACAATTTTCAATTTGTGTGACTGGGGGATGTCTGAATCCATATTGTAAGACTGTCCCACGTAATGAGGAGAAGTTGAGGTACCTTTGTTGTTCTTTGGTTCCACCCGTTGTTTCTGTGGGGAATATTACTGTCTTCTTTTTAAAAGATGAAAATAAAAAAGAAACCCCACCTGGTAATGACAGCTGAAAATGGCAACTCCAAGCCCAATTAGCACTGGGAAGATGCCAGCATGTGTTGCTCAATTTTATCCTACTTTTTTTCTGCAACAAATTACAGTGGATCAGTATTTGATTTTGGAGAAACCATGTAAGAGCAGCTGTGACCCAAGCAGCAGCACTCAGCTGGCAGCTGGGAGGCAGCGTGGGGCTAGGTGAGGGTGGCGGGGCAAGCACTGGGGGACTCTGAGGGTGGGGCTAGTATTGAGGGGTCTATTGGGGCAGGGCTGGCACTGGGGGGAAGTCTGTAGGGACGGGGCTAATATTGAGGACTGGGGAGAGACCTGGGGGGTTGGGTGCAGTGGGGCTCTGGTAACAGGAGGCTGGCACCGGGGTGTCCGGTGGTGGGGGCTGGGACCG